GTGTGTGTGTGTGTGTGTGTGTGCGTGTATGACAAAATGACAGAATAAGATAAGAGGAAAAAAATGGGCACAAGTGGTGTATGGATAATCGAGGCTGCCGATGCCTGTGGTGGGGAGTGAGGCAAGGGGAGAGCAGTTGAAAAAAGGGAGATAAGGGGCAAAGCAAGTTGACACGCGACGCACAATTACACAGGCCTAGTGGGGATGATGTCTGAAAGCTAGCAATAAGGATACATGCCTCAACAACCGGTCGACATGGTCGGGAAATTTAGCAGTTTCATTGGCACACGCGCGCACGAACACACGCAAATAGAGGCACACACAAGCGTAGAATACAGACAGTGTGAATTAAAGACGAGAGAACGAGATACAAACACAAATCCATACTTCATGGGAGAGAGAGAAAGTTGCAAAGTAAAACATTTAGGCTAGTTAAGTATGAAGAAAAATAAATTCAATAAATATATTTAAATATTTGCCAATCATGGCGGGCGAGTGTTAAAGTCATTAATACACATACAGACAGACAATCAGACAATCAGACAAACAGACAAACAGACATATAGACATATAGACAGACGGACTGATGGCCAGGCAGAGATAGAGATCATTCAGACTTGGATACAGGTGGAGGCAAGCCTAAAGAGCGAAAGAATTGTGAACAAACTAGCCAGACGTGTGAGGAAAGGAGACACTCGGTGTAGAGACAGCAGTGAGAAAATATCTTAAATCATGCACTTAATTGGGGGCCACATGGTGGCGCCGTGGGCGTGGGTGTGGGCGTAGGTGTGTGTGTGGGTGTGGGCAAAGATGGGTGCAGGGGCGAGGTTATAGGGGGGAGAGGCTAGGCAGGCAAGCAGGCAGGCAGGCAAAGCGAGCAGATGTTGTTGATGTTAGCATCTCGGAATGACGGATTAACCGGTCTGACAAATCTGGTAGCTGTGTCTGCTGGGGTGGCAACCGCCGAGAGGAGACGACACGTCCTAGGCAAGACAGTCGTGGGGCTGTCTCAAGGGTACATTGTGGCTGAGAGGGGCGGAAGTGTGAGGCGGAGGTGGGCTGGAGGTCGGGTGGAGGCGGGACGGTCGAAAGTGGGCCGGACAGTGTTGGCCTGGCCTGGCCTGGCCTGGACTGGACTGGGCTGGACTGGGCTGGGCTGTCAAAACGAGTGGATGGCGTAGAAGTGAAGCACATGCGTCTACGGCTTAGCGGTGAACCCGTAGAGGGTTGCGTCCGGCTCTAGTTGGCTCAATCGTTTGTGAAGCAAGACATGAAGACATGAAGACATGAAGACGCCCGACCAACCTACTAGCCTCAACAAACCACCTTCCCTCCCAGCCTATGTCTGTTTCATTCAAGTAGTCACGTCTGCAGGTCAAGCACAATTCAACT